CTAACCACTCTTTTTGAAAAATGATTTCAAACACTTGCTCGTCATCCTTCTACTCTACGTTGCATCTGTGCAGTACTTGAACCCCTGTCTTCATTGTTTCATGGCAGTTTTAAGCTTGTTTTTAAGCTTACAATTAATTCTAAGCTTAATTGTATTATAATACAATATATGTATTTTCTATGGCACTTAGTACCATGAGATTCAAATATAGTAGAGGTGTTCGGGTGCTGTTGCGTTACAGATCCATGTCTGTCTTCCCTCACATTTATATTTTTCAGTAGTTTTGATTAGAGTCTTGCTTTTCTGAGTGATTAGACATGTAACGTTTCTATCCTGGAGAGGAGAATAGCTAAATTTATGGAGGGGAAAAACAGGTGTCATAAATATCGTGGAACTGTGTTCAGACTCCATTTCTTGATACCGAGATCAGTTTGTATTTCCATAATTGTAGCTCCTTCAGTTCACCCTCCTGCAGCTGGAGTAGGCAGGGGTTCATTGTGTCAAAACTTGCGTTTTGAATTTAGGATCTCTGCTAAGTGGTAACAGAGAGAATGGGAATATTGGATGTGGCCTGCTTGGTAAACTTTGAAAAGTAACCAAATGAAGACTGTTACTTTTTTTTCTAGGAAGATTAGGGGGTTTTTGTAGAATAGTTTGCCCACCTCCAAAATAAAAGCAATGGCAAATTCTATTTGATCTAAAACTTAAATGGAACTTAATGGAAGGAAAATAGCATTTGGCTGAAAAGGTCCAACAGCCAACTAAGGATAATAATTTTACTAGGAATCTGTATGAGTCAAGAAATACACTGAGGGGTTTCTTTCAGAGAGGACTTTGGCAGTTGCAGAAAGCAGGGCTTTGTAAGTCATGCTAAGTGTAACGGTAAAAACCAGAGGAGACTCCCCACCACCACCTTCCATTATCTTGCCCTTCCAGCTGCCACATATGTTCACATGACAACACGTTCTTTATCACAATTTAATAATACCCCTTGCTCTGGAAGTGGTTGTAAGAGAAGTTTCAGGTATCTTCATTACGTTTATTTATATTTTGCCTGTTTTTTTTTTTCCCCCCACCTGAAGCCTGGTCTGATCTGTAAAATTAGACTGATATTTATTGTCCAGATGTCATTTCACGTGTCCATGTGCATTGCTGAGTTCTCTTCTCTAGACTTCGATGGTGTAGTTGAACAGCTTGATGCATGGGAACTATTAATCAACATTCTCCGTTAGTCAACAGTCTTTACTGACAGATACATGCTTTGTAACGGAGTATTTGAAATTCCTTGAATTTTCAAAATCCCTTTATAGAGGAAGTATTGCTGCTGAGCACATCATCAATCCCATATGTCTGCCTATAAAAATGGACATCTAATAATACTGAACATTGTTGCAAGGAAGGATATATAATGGAGTAGAATAGATAGAAATATGGGAACTTGATCTGAAAGTCATTTGGGGAATGAGGGGCACAGGGTAAGCAATGCTCCCTGTAGTAGGGGGAGCGTAGGTGTACACTGGGGTGCCTGCTGTGATGCTGTGTGGGTTTTCCGTTCTGCCATTGAGATGTGTTTTACCAAAACAAGCCAAACGTGAGGGTATATTAGTAAGATGTTATGGGGGAAATTCCTGAAGGTATCTTTTTGTTAACCTCCTTGGTTTCATTTGCTCTGGGTATGTGTACAGAGCAGTTGCGTGTTGGCTATTGTTAAACGTAACTCCAGTTAAGTTTATATTGTTCATATTGGTGACAGTCTAGTCTATATTTATACCAGAATATTTTTACCTTTTCTCTCATCTTCCTCTGCTCTTTCCTATATCTTTTCTTTTCTTGCTTTGCAAACTCAGCAAAATTAACAGTGGGACTTGAATACTGTGCAGGTACTGGAATCCTACCTGCAGTTATCTTTGCTGTTACAGTTAGTTTAAAAAAAAAAAAGCAGGCCCGTTGGATTAGTGCAGTACATCTGGAACAGTATGTAACACGCTCCAGAGGGAAGCTTCTAAATGTGGATTTGACCTTGCATAAATGTGTTTAATCCCTGTTTGTTTGCATTTATAGTATTTAAACTACTACCAACAGTCATGACACTTTGGCAATATGACTTTTATGTGCCATCAGTACTAGACGTCTGTTTCATCCTTTACAGTATATAGAATCATATCCAAGAATACATTAAAAGAACATAATGGTGCAGAGTCAGGGATTCAAAAGTTAGGAAATGCCAGAATTAAAAGCTCCCTGCATAATTTCTTAAATTCAGAAATAAGCGGGACTTGCTTCTGCTCCTTTAAAGCAATAACCTGCTACTTTGATCTGTTGCGATAAGGTTCAAGTACGCCTTTCCTTTGTAGTCTTGAACCTATTGGGAAGGAGTTGTAGTGAGGGAAAGTGGGAGTCCCAAGTCTGCCTGCGGGATGTGCAGAGAGTGACAGGGTAAGCTTCAGTCCCACTCATTTGGGCAGTTCTGCTAATAATACTGTGATGGCCGGAGGACTTACCAGTGAAGTAAATTGTTCACCTTGTTTAATTCTTTATTTCTTTGCTGAGACTTGGTTGTTAGCAGGAGCTTGGGAGAGGATTGAAGCCTCCAGTCTTCCAGGCTCAAGAGTGAAAATAAGAACTTAAGTTTTCCTGTGTACCTTGTGCAAATCTTTTCATCTTTTTGCTGTATTCATCTCTTAACCCCATGACAGTTTATAGCTTCAGTCAAGTAAGTAGGCTGTCTAATGCCGTAGTTGAGACCAGATCTGGTGCTTCAATACAAGTTGTTTCTGTGATGATGTTCAGTCAGAAGAGAACTTTGCGAACTTCGTGGTCAATGGATATAAATTATTAGTAAAATATTCTTATGATGTCCTGTGAGTACACTCCAGAACAGTAATTAGCTTCTTTCCAATAGCTGTTGGAGCACCAGTTGTCCAGTAGTACTTCCATGTACTAGGACTATATAACGCACTCCCCCCCTGCATTCGGAGTTACATACCTGAATTTCACTTCTTGCAGTACCCAAGATTTCTTTCTTGCAAGGCCAAGCAGAAAAGAGTGGCACTGCTTAGGAGAGGTTCCAGCTGTGTTGTCTTAAGAGAAGCCGAAGCACAGTTGTGAGCAGTGGCCCTAAGGAGCATCAGCCCCTAAACTTCTCTTTGGCATAGCATCTGAACAGTCTTTTGTCAGCATCACGTGTTTAAAGAAGTACAAAAGCTGGCGGGTTTCAATATCCTGACTGCACTCTAGGCTGTAGGAGACAGGAACTCAATCTCATTGATGTGAGTGTAGAACTTGTTGGTATTAAGCCTCTCGCCCTGGATCATGTCTCCACTATAAATTCTTAATTGTCATAGTTTAATCCATACTTTTGAGCGGCTTCTGACTGGTGAAGCAGGTGGAGTTGTACTGATGTAACTGCCTTTGCCGAATTGGAGAACGCTGCTGCCTTTTGTATTGGTTGTACAGCTTAATTTGGTGTTGCATTCTAGGTGCTTCCCAGACGCCACAATAGTGGTTACTGCTAGGAGTGCTCACTCCTCCTCTTGCATGTGGTGGGAACTTTTATCCAAAATAACCGTACCTTTGTGATGATTACATTAATTTGCAGTATCTTGGGATGTGCTGAGGCATCTTGAAGTCCTTCTCTTTTTCCATTGTATTTTCTGTTTATGAAACTCACTGTTGATATGGAGAGCATATTAGTTTAGATGGAATCCCCTGTGCTGACGTGAAACTGTAAAGTTACGGGTGTATCCACAATAAAGTGCCTTATAAATGCAGCTCCTTCATTTAACCCAGGTCTTGGAAGCATCAGGGCAGTTCACCCAGGCCAGTTAGCTCTACTAAGTGCAAAATGTATTAATTCTAATGTTTACTCTTTCTGTGTGTGTAATGTCATATAGTGGAAATGTTTGAAATAAGCAGGTCCCATGTCGTAACTTGTGGGGAATGATCATTTTCTTAACAATGACTAAATTACGACTTATGGTATGTGTCTTAGGACAAGAGCAAAGGAATGTTTTAAGGCAAGGTATAAAATATATGAAGGTGCTGCTGCTTGTCAAGGTTAAAAATACCCTTTTTTATGATCAAGTTCTTTTTTTTCCCTTTTTGACATTTGTCCTTTGCCTTGGGCTGATGAGCAGTTCTTTCGCTATTTCGCTCTGTGGTAGTGATTTTTATATAGTGTGCGGTGTATGGTTAATATTGCAACAGAGCAGTAAAAGATTTAATATTGAATGTGTCAAAGATGATGTGGCACCATCGTTGCTAACCAAGAGAGAGGTCCCTGTTTTGCGACTGCGGAAGCACTGCCCACTAGTCCATCTAGGGAAAATAAATGGTCCTTTGAAACTCTTAGGAAAATGAGTTGCTTTCAGTGTAACATGTAAAGCATGCTACAGTTGGTGCCTAGCAGTATATCTATTAAAGGTGCATTGATGGATATGTGAATATTGGGTATCTTGAGTCCTGCCTACCTAAAGCTTGTAGTCAGCCATGCTGTCATTTCTGACAGTCCCAGTGCTTCCCAGTCAAGAGCTGGAGCTTCAATTAGCCTTGTGGTCTGAGACAAGCGTGGCGTGAGCTGAGCTAAGAGGAATTGGAAATGGCAGAACCTCTAAGCATAACAATTCATAATCAAAAACAGAACAAAAGAATATTTGAAAGACGTCAGAAGACAACCTGGGAGAAGATTAAAATGAGAGGAAAGGGAAAACTTTGGGCTTTCATCGTACAAAAGAAATGAAGTCTGATGGGAGTGGGGATTCAGGGAAGGGAAAGGTTCATTGTCACTTAGCATTTTTAATGGTTGAATATAATTTATTTTACAGCTGCTCCCCACCAGTTTTCTTTTTCTGTGGTCAGTTGTTAAAAACAAAGCAATCTGCCTTGTTTTCATGTTATGCTTGTTTACATAAACTAGATGAATGTTCTCTGAATGTGAAGTGCATGTTCTGCATGACTCCATTTTCACTTTTTTTTCCTCCCTTTTTATTCTGTAGATTCCACCAATCTGCAAGCAAAGATCATGGCACAGTCTGTGGGGAGATCATTCAAGGCCATTATTAGAGGCTTCAGAGGTAGGTATAAATTGTTTTTCTTCCTACTTAAGGTCAAAGGAAACTCAAGCCCTTGGAGCACCTTTCAGTTTAGTCCGCTGTTTTGGTTTTTTGATTTCACTATTTACAGTTTTGAAGTGCAGCAAGTTAAATGGCAAGCTATGTTTCTGCCGCTAGAAAAGGAGATAACTTTGCTTAGAAGCTTCAGACTGTTGCACTTTCCTCAAGAATTCTTTTTGAATCTCTAGAAACTAATGATCTACAGTAACCTACAAAGAAGAATTCTTAAAAATATAGGTTTTGTGTGTTGATACTTAAATTCGTGTGTCAGGCATACAAAATACCAATGCATAGAAAGCTGTGAGTTTTCCTTGAGTATGTAGGGCTTTATTACTTAAAAATTCTGCTTAGGTTGTGGAATATCAGGAAACCGTGGAAATGTATTCTCATCCTGAGCACCAAGATGTCAGGCTCTTATTCCTATGAGGTCTGCTTGCCTTAACACTAATGTAAACATAACAGATGCAATTTTTACTGTTCATGGAATAGTTCTGACACATTTCTAAGTAACACACTTTGCTTGAATAAAGCTAGGAAATGTATTTGTCTTGTTTTTTTGGTGGTCTTTTAATAATTAAAAAATAACCACTTATAGAACTGACTTAAGCAGCTAAAATCTTTTGAGGGTCATTGGGACTTCAAAGCATGAAATTGTTCTGTACTGAGATTGGTTTTTGTAATGTTTTTCTTTAAAGTATGAAAAGTGAAATCTTAATTTGGGAAACCCTGAGGTCTGCTATCAAGCCATAAACATAAAATGAGATTTCTAAAGACCTTTTATATAACTTGAACCTGGAAATTGTCAACATGCAGCAAATCTTTTAAACGAAATGCAGACTCTTTCTGAAAAGCTTTAACATGTCCGTTGTTTGTGGTGGGCACTTTGAAATTGAACTTGGAGAAACACCTAATGATAGTGAGTTACTATTTTTTTTTAATAAGTCTATGTGCATTAATAAATTCAGAAATTTTCTCCGTATTTATTCAGCAGGGAATCTTGATCACATGCTAAGAGAAGGGAGCATTTGTTAAAATGGTTCTTTTCCTAACTGCACCTGTACATGCTGTACGTGGATTGCAGCAGGGGCTCTGGACGTGGTTGACTTGTACCTGTCATACGGCACCAGTAGGCTGTTCTCATCCTGATAGGAAAGAGAAGTGGGAAGCAGATTTATCTGTTTATTTTGCCCCCAAGTACAGTTACGCTTTACAAACATGGAAAGAGTCTTGTTGCTTAAGTGTGCTCCACTTTATTTATTAATGTGCCTGAGTATGGTTATCGTCCAAAACTTCAATTTCTTTTCTTTGTTCTTTAGTCCACTTTTCAGTTTTTAGGTGTCCTTTTAACTGAAATATTTAAGGCTCTGTTATCTTTACCTCCTGGCTGCTTGGAACATGCTCTTTACTATACTGCTAGATTTACGGTCCCTTTCTTACTATTGTTTCCTTAAGCAAGGCAAGGTTTTTAGAGAGAGGTAATATCTCTTATTAAAGCAAGTTGATGCAGTTGGAGGATGAGGGAGGGAAAACAGACCAGTAGTTGTTCTTTCTGTTGGCTTTTACATGCATGTTTCCTGAGGTTCTTGCAAATTGACTTTTCATTTTCACACAGACACTCCCGAGCTGGCGACGGATAGAAAAGAGAATGTGTTGGCATGGTCATGCAGGTGGAGGGCTTCACACGGATCCAAAGGAAGGGGTAAAAAAATTGCTTAATTAGTATTGCTTTTTAAATAAAAAATGTGATTAGCTTCCCAAAACCCAAAAAAAGCTGAAGACCCCAAGCAACAATTCGTGAAAAACTGTATTGGTAGATGTGTGAATACTGTAGCGGAGTAGGTACTGTTTGATTGTCGATGTAGGCTTACTAGCTCTTAAATTGCCAAATGTTTGTAATTACTGTGTTGAAGCGCTTCAGTTGTTTTATTAAAAATAGAGTCTTAGTGTCACATGCTCCTTTGAAATTGGCCTGCATTATGTTAGATTTTTTCATGGAAAGTATGTTCCACTGTAATTTATTGTGGTTTGTTATTCTTGTTTGTGACTGATGTTGCCCCGTGACTTGACATTCAGGATAGTAGAAATCAGCTTATGGATACAAGTTAGTGCATCAGTTGGTAAAATTGCACTTGAAGCCGGGGAGGGGGAGACAAGTAATTAAACTGCATGTATTTTTACTTGGATTTAATGTTAATGCATCTGATATATTTTGGCTGTATTTATATTCAGGAAGCACATGTTAAAATAATTATGGTAGGTATGTAAGGAAAAGCAGTATCTTTTATTAGACCGGATGATTGCAGTTAGAAAATGAGGCAAGCTTTTGGCTAAAACAACACAATATAAACTGTGCATGATTAAAATTGCAAAATTGAAGCTCTTGAGTTTATGTAACTTCCTTTTTCTCACTTCCTGTCCAAACTTATTTCTGATGCTTTGCGTATTTGCAGAACGATTCTGTGTGATGATTATAACTTGTCCAAACGTGGGTGGGATCTTCCTAGAACTAGTGAAGACCATGTGGATGACAAACTGAAATTTCAGTGCAGAATCCAGGTCTTTCGGGGCTGGTTTGCTCATGCTTAACTGTTCTGATGATGTATTTCCTATAGCCTCATTTGTAAAGAAACTGAAGAGTTAAACTTAGGATTTCCTCTTAAATTTTGATCTGAGAGTTATCCCTTCATTGAATCCAAGCCTGTTTGTGCTACAGGCAGAAGTCAGGAGAGATGCTACCAAAATTTATGCTTTGTAAGAGGGAATTTCATAACCTAAAGTATAGCCAGCTTGTTTTAGCAAACATCTGTGATTTTTCTGCATAAGGCACAGGGGGAAACAATAATCGGGCATCTTCAGTCAGTAGTACTACTGGCTCTGCATGTAACATTAACTTTAGACTGATTTTAAGACCCTGCTTGCAGCTGGTGTAGGCTCCATCAAAGATTTCCTAGGCAAAACAGGCTTTAAAGCTAGCAGACTATCCTTCTCTGTGTTTACCCTAATTATATGTATTATCATAGAATAGAATCGTTTAGGTTGAAAAAGACCTTTAAGATCATCAAGTCCAACCATTAACCCAGCACTACCAAGTCCACCAGTAAACCAATTAAGGGTACAGTAGCAATTTCATGTTTCCTGGCTTGGCGGCTGGATTATTTATAACACAGGTAAAAACTAGGAATCATGAAGATTGGAAAGGACCTCTAAGATCATCAGTCCAATCATCAACCCAACACCCCCATGCCCACTAAACCATGTCCCGAAGTGCCACCTCTGCCCGGTTTTTGAACACTTCCAGGGATGGGGACTCCACCGCCTCTCTGGGCAGCCTGTTCCAATGCTTGACTACCCTTTCTGTGAAGAAATTTTTCCTAGTATCCAATCTAAACCTCCCCTGATGCGGCTTGAGCCCATTTCCTACCGTCCTATCACTTGTTACTTGGGAGAAGAGACCGACCCCCCCCTCCCTACACCCTCCTGTCAGGGAGTTGTAGAGAGCGATAAGGTCTCCCCTCAGCCCCCTCTTCTCCAGACTAAACAACCCCAGCTCCCTCGGCCGTTCCTCATAAGACCTGTGCTGTATTTCTCCTGTAAATGGGAGGAGGGCATTATCCCCTGTAGTGTCACTTTGGTGATCATACATCTGTTGGGCTTAATTATTTGTTCTTGGGGGTTTTCCTGCTAGAATTTCTGTTTGCCTGGGTATGCTGATGGGCTGAATTGCTTGCTGTCATAATTTCGTTTTTTCGCAACTCCAAGGAAAAGATTTTTTGTATATACATAGAATGAACTTGCATTCATATGATTCAGTTCCAAGCCTATTTCACAGGCTCAGCTTCAGAACTGACCTATCTTCAAAAATACCACAAGGGGCTGTTTCTTTCTTTAAAAAGCTATTTCCTGAAATGCAGACATTTTTCAACTGAACCCTTTCGCATGTGATGGGCAACTTCCAGGACAAATCTTTTTAATCATTATAGGTATTACATGTTTAATCATCATGTATTTTCTTTGGAGTTAATACTTTTCAAAGGTCTACAGTTTGGCATCATTCACAAATTTAAATTTCGGGTCAGAAAGGAAATGGAAGCTTCTGTTTACCAAAACACTAGTAATGCTAAGGAGTGGTGGATGTTCTTTAACATTAAAATTCACTAGGAATATTTTAGCCATAAATTTTGATGCCAGCTGATATTTTTTTAGTCTGCTAGGCAGTGTAAATATTCCAGTGGCATTCTCCGTTCACCCATTACTTGCAGCTATTCCTGTCTAAGCCAATCCTCTGACTTTTTTATTCCAATAAATGGAGCTATAATGTAGTTAATATAGGACATTGTCAGTTAAGGCTGTTGTCTAACTAAACAAATATCAGCTGTTAAGAATTGTCCAGGAGAAAGCACCAAGAACTAGCTGTAGATGAGGTGAAATGCATGAAGAGTGAAAAAAACAGAGTAACACTGGGTGCAAAAGCCAAGAGGTTCTCAGCAAAAATGAAGGGAAAGAAATCTGATGTTATAAGTGCAGTTCTTGCACTTGTTAATACCCACACTTGTATTCAGTGCGTAAAAGTACTGGCACCCAGTTTACCACATGAGAATTTCTTTTCCCTAGGATTAAGCTTTTAGGAAAACTGCAGGTGATATACATGTCAGCTATATTACATCTTTCTCTCTTCCAAAATTTTTTGATAAACGAGCCTGTTCATTCTGGAAACTGACTTTGGGACTGATGTTTTAAATTGCCCCTTTTATAGCAGCTTCAGGGGATACAGAACTAAACGAATGTGAGGATAAACACAGAGTATAAAGGGCCTGTTACCTTCATCTCACAAGTAACTAGGAGAGAAGCTTACACATCTGTTTTTTTACAAAATAATTTTTACTTGCAGCAGTGGCTGATGTGCTGAATACTGAAACTGGAAACAGTATTGTTCTTTACCACCTTTGGGGTTTTTTTGTATGTTAGTCTTTTGTACACAGAATAGACAGGGATAAAAACTGGTGCCTGACTTGTTGCTAAGCAGACATATATTACTTTCTTATGGAAAGACCGATAATCATGGTGGAGCCTTGATAATTAGCCTTCCCCTACCACCATTTCACTCGGTTGCTATTTAGTTTGCTAGTCACTGCTTGCCCTCTGTGGAGGGATGGATAGTACAAAGACAGAAGACTAAGTACTTTCTTCCCAAAGTTTGGAAGGAAAATTCAGCCCTAGTTTGACATTTATTTAAGCTGATAAGGCAACTGAAAAAAGAATCCTACCTCCTTCCTCACCTTGGTGTTTTGCTACATAAGTCACTGTATGGTCGGATATTGAGCTAGTGTGAAGTGATCTAGCTGAAAAATGACATGTCCAAATGGTGGGAATACCCCCTCCCTTCCCAAACAGCTACTGCTGCTTCACTCACAGCAAGCTGCGTATCGTGGACTGAAACGGTCTAAGTGCTTCCTGCTATTAAAAAAAAAAAAAGTAAGTTCTGTTCTCAGCCATGCTTTTTCTCATGCTACTGAACTTGTAGGTTTATCTGACTCTCTTTACTGAGATGAAACCCTGCAACAAACGCTGAAGAGTCTTCTGCTGGTTCATGAGAACTGAATCAGTTCATCAAGGTGTTTCATGAGCTCCAGAGGTGGTGCGAGAAATGGGCTGGGACTGTACAATTGAGTGCTGCAAAGAGAGGAGAAAGCAGGGGAGGAAGCAAGCTGTTAGTGGTTTGCAGAATAACCTTGTGCAGATGTAAGGCAGCTTGTGCTAGCACAATAAGGAGGATGGTGCAGCTTCATGAGTGAGTACGCAGGGAGCCAGAACTGGATCTTTTTTTCTTCATCAGCAATGACAGCTTAAATGCCAGTCAAACTACCATTTTCCTCCATCATGCTTCTGATAGCTCATCGTTGTGGCATAGGCTTTATCCATAAAGTCCCAGGGTCAGCCCAGTGAATGCTTTACTCAATAATCTTGGAGATTGTGAAGAGGAATGACGACTTTCTTTTTTTTCCCTTCTTCAGGTATTTTAAAATGTCCAGAACCTGGATGGGATGGGAAGCAGGGGGCAGGAAGATGGTCAATGCTCGTTCCTTTGCAAATAGTCTTCAGTATTCGGTAGTGTGTTTTAAAAACATGCTGCATTCAAAAACAAGAAAAGGCTTTTCTTCTTTGCTCCCTGCTATATTAGATTTATAATACTTTTCCTTCCATTCCTTCCATTTCTGTGGAAATAGACCTTGGAAGAAAATATAAAACATTACTGCCATTTAAAGGGAGGTAAAATAAATGCATCTCTTAACCTTTTTATATATCACAGAGAGTCAAAAAACGGCCTGAGTCCATTAAACAGGTTGCTCATTTTCATACTTAATGTTGCCACTTGCGTACTTAAACCATTTTCAACTTGTGTTTTTGTACAACAGTTAACATTTATTTCATGGTAAACTTTGATGTAATATGTGTGCATTTTGCATCTCCTTTGATTTTTCTTCTTGTTCCTTTGCAAGGCCTTTGGCAAATGACTGGCTGCCTTCTGACTTTTTTTTTCTGAATGGATTTACTTCTGTCACCATTCAGAGCCATGAAGAAACAGAAATAGATTCCTTGTTTGCAGCCAGTGTATTTCATTCTTTTTAATAGCTTTTCTGTGCAAGGTCTGACTAGCCAATAGCAACATATAATTAGAACTGCTCTGGTTGCAGTGGTGTCTTTTGTGTTAATGTGATGCCATTTTTTTTAACTTCCTTTTAACCTGTAAATGGTGATCAAAGATATTTTCCAAATGTTTGAACTGCTATTTATGCATATCCTTGGCTCAACTGGAAAGATTCATGTATATGCTGCAGCAGATGCCTCCATCTCCTGAATGGGTAGGACACAACAGAAACAATTTTGCATCTTCTCTTCACTTACAATCCATTTTTTAAAAGTAATTTGAAATGTGCTTATACTGTGTAATGCTGCAATACATTTGCAATTGTTGACAAAATGCAGTATCTTTTACCCTTTGGTTTTCTTTGAAGCTATGACTAGAAACACTGAGATGAATTTTCCGGTGCTTTTAAAAGCTTACATTTATAGAATTGGCTTCCCTGGTTGTCTTGGCAATCTTACCTTCTAACAGAACTCTCCTTTCTTGCTCATTCACGCTGGACCTTAACAGAGGATGCCTATGCTAATTTGTTTTATCCTCATAGAGTCAAGGAGGGAGCATTTAAAGTACACAACCTAGTGAGGGAAACATGAAAATATATTGTAAAACTCTCCCTTTCTACTGACTTCTGTAGTGAAAAGTCGTCTTTAAAAGGTGTGGACTAACTTTTTGTCCCGTCCCCTCCCTGTCCCCCCCATATTGCCTGAAATGGAGAGATTAGCTGCTACTTGCTGCCCTCCCTTCAGCTTTAGATAACCTTCATGTCTTTGGAGTTAACCCCAGGGTAGCCAACACAGAAAAATGAGTTGTTGATACCTGTGCTGTATGTTACTGCATGTGCTGTTAGTCTCGATTGGGTAGCAGGGTTTAGGCTTCAGATAACATATTTAGCTTGGGAGTTTAGTGGAATATATCTCAAGTGTAAGTGATACAGACATCTAGCAATCCGTAAAATAACCTGTGTTTCTGTAAAAACAAACAAACAAACAAAATCCCAAACCAAAACAAAACCTCCCCCAAACCCTAATATTTCTCAAGTAGATTTGTTAACAGAAATGTAGTCTTTTTTTTAGAGTGAAATTTGAGGTTTGGAGAAGGAGAAGCTATTTGAAGAATTCATTAAAAAGTGACGTAATCAGTTAAGCTAGCATGGGGCCATGTGCATCTTCTGCCTCCTGAAGCCTGATTACCCAACTTCAGGGGCCGTTCTGTTAAATGAAGTGGTGACATTGGAAGCTGAGTTAAGGCCACTAGAATAGTTTTCTTACTGGTAGTCATAGCTTCATTGGGCACCCTTTGGGTTCCTGAAAACAGGCCCTAAAAGACATGGGCAGAATAAGAGTAGTTCTCACTTCTCTGCAAAGGTTGTAAGATGACCAAAAAACTGTGAAAGTGATTGTTGGAAATGCTTAAATTTGTAGTAATGAAACCAAATCATCTGAGCTGAAATTTATATTCAGTTCATTTTATATATCAGCATAAGTGTTCAGTTTCAGAGATTCATTTGAGTTGTTATAATGCTAGTGATTTTTTAAAATACTGTATTCTATTGTGACTCACTGAATGTTCTCCAAACTACTTGCATTTATTGTAGACCTTTCAGACTTCCTTCTTGCCTTAGTTTTTTACTTCATTATTTTTTTTTTGCATTTTTCCTCCTGTTCTTTCTATGCTATGTTAAAACAGCTTCCAAAGAAGAAATACTAAGCCCTTGCATTTTGTACAGAAATCTTGAGAAGATAAAAAAGCAGGGTCAATTTATTTGTTCTGTGAAGTATTTCAACTACAGTGAATTGTGGCTTTCTCTGTATTCCATTTACAGCTAGCTAAACTTGCACTCTTGAGGACATGTGAAATAAGAACAATTCATCTGTTTTAACAGAGTGTCATGGATGTAAAGCTAAAAACTTACACCTTGAAATTTTAATAAGCCATCCTAGTCTCAAACATTGTGAAGTGTCTGTTGCCTATCAAATAAAATACAGAAGTGATCCAAATGTATAAAATTAATTCTTATTTATACTGTTATTTTGCTTCCAGGGGTCTCTTTATAACACAGTGCCTTTGTTTGTTCTTTCCAATAGCTGAAAGAGATAGATGCCAAAAAGATTATCAGAGCAATGTTGGCTTATGTGTGGCCCAAAGACAGACCAGACCTGCGAGCCAGAGTAGCCATATCTCTGGGTTTTTTAGCAAGTGCAAAGGTAAGAACAGATAATTCATTGTACTCTGGTAGTTACTAGTCATCTGGCATTCGTACAAGGTATAATTTTCTTTTTTATTATTTAAGTGCTTTTCAATCTTAAGATGTGTGTTTCCTGTATGAGGAGCATATAGTATTAGAAATAATAGGTTGGATTTTTTAACAAGGTGTGTATGGATGTGATACGCATCTGTGTGGTTGGGGAGATGATGACCAGAATTTTTATTTCCATTGCTCCCATTAGTTTAGTCCAGGATTTTCCATTGCCAATTAATCATTTACATCATAAGTTGTGGGAAATGTGAGTTAAAGGTTGCTTACAGATCTTCTCCTCTTGTGTGGTGCTGTATCTGTCAGAGAGGATTTCTTCAAGGCTCTGTGCCCATTTTCAACTCCAAACTTGAGCAATGTGGAGGTATCTACCCACAAGTCTTGCCGTACTATGGGAAAGGGGATTTGAGCTCAACTAAGTTGCTTCTAAGTATGGCAATTTTTACCAAAGATAAAGCTAATATTAGTGTCTTGCTGGGATAAGCTAAAGCAGGTACTGCTTGGCAATGAGTTTTAGCACTTAAGCTAGTTGCACTAGCAACTTACTAGCATTCAACAACATTGCCATGTTATGAAAAGAGAGAAGATACAAATTTCAGCTACGTAGGTGATAAAAGAAGAGTATGTGGAAGAGAAATGTGCTCATTTATTTGAGCTGAAGAGGAAAGGCCGATCATTTGGTCTACAGCTCTTGCTCATGAGCAATCTATCAGGTGCTAGCTGGTACTGTCTACAGTAGATATTTTGGTTTGTGCTGCTGTTCAGGACGTTGCTGATAATGCAGGTGACGACATGCGGAATATGGCATGTCCACACAAGTGAACTTCTGCTCTTTTTGTATGCCTGTGCAAAATATACAGCAATGCTTTTGGTTACGCTTAGAAACTGTCTGCTCAAAATGCAGATGCTAGGAGCGTTTTGCCTTGTGTGCTGTGCGGTTGCCCTCACAGTAGTATTTAACTGATTACATGCTTGGCTTGTTGAGGTTTTGTGATGTATATTTAAGACTACCCCATTTACCTGATGGATATGAAAATTCTTCTAACTCAGTTTTTTTTAAAGCCTCTTATTAGTAATGTGGATAATAATCTGAAGGCAATTTTGAAATAAGTTTGAAGTATTTTTTTTTTCTTTTTCTCTTCTGCTCTTCCCCCCACCTTCCTAATTTGTAGGGTTATGTGAATATGGTGGAGGATGTGAATCCAGAATCTAATCCTGCATGTGGCAGCATTGTACCTTGCTTTTAGGAAATATATTAATATTTGAAGCAGCTTTCTGGGGTGTAATGAAAACAAAATTGATGGCCAGGATGCCTGACTCCTGCAAATAGCTCTGTATTTGGTATAATACAGAGCTCTTATATTTCTACTGGGAGAGAGAGATGTTTCCCCCTGTCAGAAAATGAGACACTTAATTGCTCATTAGGGAAGTAACTGGATGTTTGGATCTCTTTTAAGTGTTCTCTTAAATTTCCTACTTCAGATTCTGTACAAGGCAGCCTGGAAGCCCTGATGTCCAGAGCAGATTCCCAGAAGCAGAGCACAAAACCTGTTGAGCTTTGCCCAGGTTTTAGGAGATGCCTGTTGAAGCAGAAGTGTTTTGTGAGAATGTTTCTTTTGGCAGACAAGGATTTCATTGGGAAAACACACAGCAAGCTCTCTGCAGAGTATATACTATAACTGGCTGGGGTGAAAAATTTCACGGATGCCTTCTAGCTGTCCTTTGCTGATGTTCTTTGTTCTGTTTCTGTCATAACAAAGCTGTGTTAGAACTCAAACATTTTCGAATAACTGCAATTTAACAAGTTACCCCTCATCACCTGAGCGATGTCCACTCTGTGGGGTGAATTTTCCTAAATTGCTTAATACTTTACACATGCTAAGTATGCGTGTAGTTACTGTGGCATAACTGACATGCAATAGTTTGTTACAGAGCTGTAGTAAGTCTGTCATATCTTTCAGCCCTGAACATCTGCTTTTCTTCCAGAGTAAACTAAAGGTCACTCTGTCCTAGAGAAAATTAAATCCAAATTAGTTTACCTGTAGCTTGCCTGGACCATGTATAATCCTGTGCAGTTTCCTCATTATCCCATTTGGGAGCCCTTTGTTCTGATTGCTTGTGAGGTTAATTACGATGTACTCGATAGACCACACAAGCAGTTTGTTAAAGTTTCTCTGCTATGTAGTTGTGTCAGCACAAGAACACCAGCATATCTTTCTCCTTGCTGCAATCCTGGCCCCATTTCTTTGTTCGCTGTGAACTCGTCTGCATCTGAAGGATTTACATCCTTGTTATGGATTTTGTGTAAAGCCTGCTCGTTCTTAGGGGTTTTGCATAGAGAACTATATGATCATGATGCCTGCTACTAGTCACCTTCCCCAATAAGAAATACTTTTGGAAGGTTTTTGGCCAATTTCTTCCGAGTTTGACAAAAGAGTTTGAGATTTTATACCTCTATATTTATAAAGTTAAGTTTCCAGTTAGAAGGAAAGATCCAAATGGTGACTGAGACAGAGGCTGTAGGGTGGCTTCCATTTTGTTCGAAGAAAACTCCAGAGAAATCACAGAGGATAGATAGATTATGAAATCCTCAGGCACAGGAAAAAAATTAGGCATTCACACCCCGCTTGATTTGGCTTGCTTACCCACAAACCACAAAAAAGCTGAAGATCATACCTCCTTGTCCTGCTGCTTGAGAAATAATTTGTCTCTTTAAATCTTCCAGTTCAGTAAAATTCAATTTCAAAAATAAAGCCAGGTTGTATGCAGCTACTGAAGAGCCTGCAGTTACAATCTGTCTTGACTCCCTTTGTGGGGCCCAGTTGCCTGTCATTGAACAAATTATTGTGATTTTCGGTTCCTTTTTGTCTACACATAACCGCTGGTATTGTTAGCCTTCAAAGTGAGCTGTTTGTACGGCTTTTTATGACTGGGGTCTGACAGGATGGAGTCTGCTCTAGGGCTAGTAAGGTCTTTCTTTCCTTGGAAGATTTGTTGTGTTATGACACGCTTTAAATTTTTATCTTAAATATTTATAGCCTACCTAGACGTGTGCGATCTGAAAGATGCAACAGGAAGATAGGTGAGAGGAGTACACGAGGCATTCTCTCTTTTCAGACACATGGATTAGCCTGCTCAGGTTCTAGGTATCTGGGGTTTGGGTTTTTTTTTTCCCCACGGTCCCTCTCCCATTTTTTGTCATCTCTACTGGGGTATGTATAGTAAATGCTTCTTTACTTTTCTCTTCTTCCCTTTTTCTTTTGTGGCACAAGAAGAAAAAGTGCTCGGACTTCTGAGAAGCTGGATTAAACACACGAATATGACAAAATCGCTTGTCACCTCTGTCAGCCTGTAATGGTTTTTGGCCTCTTGGTCACAGACCAGGCATGTGTTATTCATGAGCCAGAGAAATCTTTCAGACTATCTGCATTTCTACTGACTGCTAATTCTGTAAGTTTCAGGAGAAGAAATTGTTTGGCTAAGGAGGCAACACACAAGTGTTGTATTGTAAATTTTGTCTGCCTGCAAAGATAATGGTATCTGTCTGATCAGTTAAGTATGCACATAGGATCTTGACATTTGAGCCCTTTTTGTGGGCTCAGATGGAGTTAGGTAATTACAATAAACCTTTAGAAACTGTTAGCTTTTTGAGAAGGTTTGGGTGAAAAGTATTTTTAAACTCTTTTTTTTTTTCTCTCTCTCTTACTGGACAAAGTACATTTCAGGTCATCATTAAATTTGAAGGTGGCTTGAAGCCAGATGCTGCTTCCCTCTTTTGGACGATGTTTTGTAGCTTCCTTAGCAGTCTTACCTCCGTAAGGGATAGAATTTTCTGTTTATATTTCCACCGATGGAGTTGTTGGATGTGTATGTTTATATTGGTCCAGAGATAAATTCAGTCATCTCCATGTCAACATTTCTCATTGAATTATTGGCAAAAGAAGAGTTCACTGTAGACCAGTTTTATGTTGTTGGGGCTTGGCCTGTCACTAATTCATCATCTTTATTAAACAAGAAATACTGGGAAGAGCAAAATGAAAGATAAGACTGTTTGCCTTAAAAGTAGCGTAGTCCCACAAGGGAATAGAGATGATGATGCGTTGTCAGCTTAAAACAGTGCAGTCATTTAAAAAAAATGTTTAAACTCATTTAAGCATGATGTATTACGGTATAACGTGCTGTTAAATGTGGGCAATTGAGTTGGGATGACTTCATGGGTGCTGTATTTGCTTTCCAATAAATTCAGGCAGGGATAAGCTATTAATTCAAAATTATAAATAGAAAATGTACAAATTTATATTAAAAGGGTCTTTTAATGGGAATTTTTCTCAAGCTTTCAGGCATAAGGAAGAGATGGGAAACCTATATAGATATATTGCATAAGACAGTTGTTTTGCTTGGTAGCTTTTCATAGTGTACCTAGGTGTGCTTAAAGCTTTTTGTTCTGTGCCAGCACATCCAGGCTACTGAAGAGATAGCCGTGAGTTTATGTAGAAGGCTGAAATTTTGTTTCCATTAATGTGAACGTGATCTCATTGACTTAACAAATTGAGTAGGAAAGGCCTGTTTCTAATAATGGCCTCTCATCTCTCTTGCTATAAACTTTGTAAGATTAACTTTTTTTTTTTTTAAATTACTGGAGAGCAGACTGTCTTGATTGCTAATGAAATGCAATATCATGCTGCCTTGTTCTTATTCAAGCTTTACCCTCCAGGAGTCAGAACAACTATAACCTGAGACCAGGCTTTAAATTTCATTTAAAACTCTATTGGGTAGAATTATATTGATGTAAAAGAAGACATTTCTGCAAAATTGTAGGCTGTTACCGGTTAAATTAATTGCGAGTGGAGAACTGCAGTTTAAAGAATACATCTCTTTTCTTTAAATGGACTTTAAAATAAATCTGTAGTTCTATTTCTAAACTACCTGTAGCATAGCGTAGTCTGCTGAACAGTGAAATCCCTGCAGAAGGATTTGTGAGAATCTGCAGCAAATCAAGACAATTTGCATTACGTTACTCTTACTTTCTACTGAGTAGTCTCTCCCAGGAAAACCTGCACTTTGTTATGTTGGTCATCAGTGTAACACACATGGTAGCGTATTTGTCTTTATTAAGAACAAAATGCCACCCAAAAATCGAGTTTCCCTAACTCTGAAGGGAAAGTAGAGGGGGTTTTTATTATACTGGGGAAGGAAGGGGGGATTTGAATTTCAGTATTGTAAAGATTCAAAATCTCGGTTAATGCATCTGCAGTTCTTTGTGGGGCTTTATGCTTAAAGTTTAAGCACGTAATGTTCGTCTGCTGTGTATGATTGAAGTTATTAGATGTTACTGTATGCTGCTGCTTTGATGGTATTTGTTGGCTTTCTGCACATAATGCTGACTTTGGGCCTTTTTTTTTTTTTTTTTTAATGGAGTTTTCCACAATTCCAATCTATTAAAAGGGGAGTTGTTGCTGAATGACTTGGGCATGCACTGGATAAATTTCAGAAGAATGTGTTTGAAGTAGGACCTAATCTTTCAGCTGTTTTCTTTTTTCAGTCACAAACTAACCAGTAATAATCTCACCTAGATGCTCTCAGATCTCATCTGTCTCCTCTCAGGAGTTGTCTAGATTATGCTGACAATTCCAATCTATTAAAAGGGGAGTTGTTGCTGAATGACTTGGGCATGCACTGGATAAATTTCAGAAGAATGTGTTTGAAGTAGGACCTAATCTTTCAGCTGTTTTCTTTTTTCAGTCACAAACTAACCAGTAATAATCTCACCTAGATGCTCTCAGATCTCATCTGTCTCCTCTCAGGAGTTGTCTAGATTATGCTGTATTGAGAATTTGGTGGTCTTTTTCTTTTTTTTTTTTTTTTTTCCATTTTTTCCCCTGCTTAGTGTATTTCATAGGGGAGACACAGGAAGGAAGAGGAGAAAATGGATTAAAACTGTTTAAAACTTTTTTGTGAAACAGTGTTTAAAAAAAAAAAAGAAACACGAACAGATTCAAAAAATTAACTTAAGGTTTTTTTCTTTAATCCTATAGTTCAAAGAAGTGTTTTCAAAACTCCAGTTTCCCCTCTTGGTGAAGTCTGCCACTACCTACAGTGATTTGTAACATTGGGAATATTTGATACCGGGATAGTTATAATTACTGAAAGCCTGTCTTCCAGCTTGAATTTGGACTGAAGTTATGAAAGACTTTACCACTTTTTTTGCTTGAAACCTAGTTTTAGCCAGTTAATTTACAGTTTTTTCACTGGGCTTTCAGCCCTGACAGATGTCCCTAAATACAATTGAGATCTAAGTGGGTATACAAAACATTTGGTGGAGAGGGCTGAAATATCTTTGTCAATCTGTTTTGGGTTTTCGTTTCTTCTCATGTAAAATAATTTGTCATCTACCTGCAATTTTTCCAAATATTGAAAAAGAAATCCCAACTTTAAGCATAGCCAGCTCTCTGTAAAGTATTTTAACATCTGCCATGATTATAAGATTGTAGGTCTTAACATACTTGTTCAACTGCTAAAAAACTTGTATACCTTATTTTCAAATCTTCAGTTAGAAGCAGTTTGAATTAATGAATTCTATTAATTATATGAGGTTTGGCAGTGATTTTTTTCTTGTTGGTACGAATGAGTGATTTAACAATGGAACATTAGTGAGACTTAAGAATTTTATGCTTTCTTTAAGATTTTCAGTATTTTCTCATGCTACAACTGTGCAAATAAAAAATCCGAAAGTTGATCTATTTATATATCTAGCTGTCTTGCTTTTCGCATGTAGAGGAGACACCACTATTAGAGGAGATGCATTTGGGGTTTGGTGCTCTTACAAAAATACCCAGTGACATGCTGTATGTTAGGCTGTGGGTGTGACTTCAGTATTTTGTTTGAAAGCTCATATTGTCAGAGTAATTTGTACTGTCTTGTAGACTGTACGGAAAGTCTTTTGTGCTGCTGTGCCAAACGCTAGGGTTAATGTAGATATTAAGTTAATATTTATAATGATGTTGCAAATGGAAAGCCTTATTTAAATACTAAGGTAGTATTAACAGTCAGAAGAGACAAAGGATAGGTTAACTTCTTTTCTTTGACTTCACTAGAGCTTTGGTTTGGTACATCTCGATTGACCCAGCGTTAGCAATACGTGGGCGAGTTGTTTCTTTTGTGGTAGTAGTTCTTCATACTGAATATTGCCAGTATCACAAAGAGCAAACAACCTGTAATGACGACATAATTTAGGAGCATTGTAAGTATGCGTCGTGCAGGGTCTGCTGCTTGATTCATTTCCTAGTCTTGCCGTTGCTGTACTGAGTGCTCAGCCTCAGTTTAAGTGCCTTTGCAGCGTACAATTTGTTTAGGCTAGAAATTGATATTTAAAAGGAGCCAGTGAGAGAGACAAACTAACCCTGCAGTCCCAGGAGTAAAGACTTAATAGTATGGAGAATATTGTCCTTGAAATCGAGAGCCATCTCACCCGCACTAAGTCGTTAAGAACTAAATATAACAGTAGAGCAATTTCAGAAAAAATAGTCATGCTGCATAGTCCATGTGCATTAAAACATGTATCTAATTGGTGTTCTTATGCTTTTAGGCCATGAATATATTGGTTCCCTTCATGTTTAAATATGCAGTAGACAGCCTCAACCAGGTGTCTGGAAACGTACTCAACCTCAGCGACACACCAAATACAGTGGCAACTGTGGCAACTGCTGTTCTCATTGGCTGTAAGTGGTGTTCCCAAATCTGTTGACGAGTGTTAACTTTATTCAGTAGGGGAGTGGGGTAGTGGAGCTTCTGATCTTTGCACCGCTAAGCTTCTAGGATGGCTATTTCATAGTTAACTTCTGTGTTGATGTCTGTTTCCAATGTCCTGTGACCTTGCTTCTGGTATCCCAATTAAAAAATGAAATAATGCTCATAGAAACAATTCCCCATATAAATCCTACCCTTTCTTATAACCAGCTGCAAAAGAAATTGATTTAAAATGTGTGCGCAATGGTTTATAAATGAAAAATAGCATAAAGTTTTGGACCAATTAAGTATAAATTACCTTTGAACTAAAAATGTTGCAAATACATAAAGAATGAGTCTAATGTAATTTCATGCATGAAGGGAAGTTGGAAATATAATTATTTTCATTTGTAAACTTTTTCATCTTTTTTTAGATGGCATCTCAAGAGCTGGGGCAGCGTTATTTAATGAAGCTAGAAATGCAGTATTTGGGAAAGTAGCTCAAAATTCAATCAGAAGGATAGCAAAGAATGTTTTTCTGCACCTTCATAACCTGGATTTGGCATTCCACTTAAGTAGGCAAACCGGAGCTCTGTCAAAAACCATCGACAGAGGAACAAGAGGCATCAGTTTTGTTCTTAGCGCTTTAGTATTTAATCTGGGACCTACGATGTTCGAAGTGGCACTAGTCAGTGGAATTCTGGTAAGCGGTGTTTATTCATGAGTTGGAATTGTCTCATTTAGGAATAATACATTGATTTTCTTTTACCAAAGTCTACTGAGTATTAATAATAATAATTGAATTTACAAGGTGGTTGTGAAAGCAAGTACTGTAAAGGAGAGCAATCTGTAATTTTCAAATATTAGTTACTTTAAATCAGCTTATTTGAAATTATTTTCACATTTAACGCCTGTCTTCAGCCAGTGGTATTTATGTAGATAGTTTTTAATGTTTTTCTTCAGAATTGTTGAAAAAATGAAATCAGAAAAGTAAACTGTGCACGCAAGTGTCAAATATATCTGGGTAAATACTGAGGAAGCAGAATATAAATGTCCAGGAATGTTGTGTCTTAGTGTGTTGAGGATAGAGGAGGGAGTGATTATTGGCTCTCTTCTGAATACTGGTCCTTTCTTATCTAGAACTTAAAGGTGAAAATTATCTTTTGGAAAATAGGCTGCTTCTTGCAGGTTTTAAGCTTAATAAGCTCAATTTTAAACTTTTCTTATATAAATCACATTAACTGTCTTTGAAATCAGGATCTTTGGATATTTATATGCTAAAATCTAAATCTCACTTATGTAGCTTAGACTAAATTAAAAGCAAGAATCTTGTTTTGTTTACTCCCCTTCTTTTTAGAAGGACTAAATCAAATCGGAATGTAACAATATGAGTTAAACCCCCTGTTGATATTGGGTTAACCTTTGGAAGTTGCAAATCAAGCTGGCTGTCGGCCAACCTGCCACGATGCTTTAATTTTTCTTCTTACGGCTTTTCTCTCCTGATGCATCCTGAAGTAGAGAAAACACTTCATAAATTGTTTTGCAAGGCCATTTATTTCTGCTTCTGCAGTCTTCAGCTTTCTTTCAAAAATCCACCCAAAAAGCATGTAAACAAATACTTATTTGTCATAACAGCACAAACAGCAGCAACATTTATGTTTTATAATGGCAAAAATAACTTTCCGGTATTACGTTATACACTAGCTCTTGATTATCTCCTCCTACCTTTTTATCTATAACCTCCTCCTTGCTATTTTCCTTTTTGAGTCTATGCCTGTATTTAGTCTTAAGCTCTGTTCAGAGCAGGGAGTGCGTTGGCAGGGACATCAGAGTTCTTGTTTCGGGCTAAGCTATCATAATTTTGAGACAACAGTGAAATTTTGAAAATAATTATGACTTTTTATTTTATTTTAAATATTCTAGTATTACAAATGTGGTGCAGAGTTTGCTTTAGTAACCCTGGGGACGCTAGGAGCCTATGCAGCATTCACAATAGGAATTACACAGTGGAGGTAAGGCCTGCCCTCAGATTCATCAAGGTACTTAGTGTTGCCTCAGCCTGAACTCTTGACTGTATTAAGCCTCCATTTTGCAGGACTAAGTTTCGAATAGAAATGAACAAAGCAGATAATGATGCGGGTAATGCTGCAATTGATTCGCTACTAAATTATGAGACTGTGAAGGTAAGACCAATCTTTACTACTAGGCTCTTTGTCTTATTTCTGTCAGCCTGGAGAAAGTGAGTTGTAAGATTCGTCTTTTACAGGGCTGCATATTTGGAGCAATAGCATATTTGTAAAACATTACTCATTTGAAGAGTACTACATGGTATTGACAGAGTAGCATGAAAGTTCTATTTGCTAATAACGAGTGAGAAGTTTCTTTCATGACTGCATCACCTTGACCATCAGTTTCTGTGAAATGTAAACTTAGTCTGGCAGAAGCTTCTTTTCACTTGTTTGCAAAACTGTCTTCTGAAGTCAGCCTGCAACATATTGTCTTCTCAAATGACCCTGTGTACTGTTTTTGTTACCTATTGCGGTTTGTAGCACTGCATTGCAACGTTTGCATGAAAGAACAGGTCTCTATTGGCTCTTCTACTGCTACTGTTAAAAAATCCTGTGGACAGCCTTGAAATTGTCCAGGTTCATGCTTGTTTTATGCTTCTTTTAATTGGAGAGCTAGAACTGGAAAGACAAGCAGTGGAGTTAGCTGTGAAGAAGGACCCAGAAGTAGACACTGTGTGAGAAGTACTGTCCTAGAGAATTTGCCATCATCACAGTAACAAGGATGTTCTAGTACATAGAGGACAGTAACTTTTTCTTCTTTTTATTATCTAGTGGCAGCTGGTGTTTGGTTTTGATGTTAATTAGGTAGAAGTTCTGCAAGACAGACACCTGGTGTTTCTAGAATATGAGTATGGTAGGGATTTCCATAATCATAGAATCATTTAGGTTGGAAAAGGCCTTTAAGATCATCAAGTCCAACCATTAACCTAACACTACCAAGTCCACCACTAAACCAGTTAAGGGTAGAGTAGCAATTTCATGTTTCCTGGCTTGGTGGCTGGATTCTTTTTTAATGAAAGTAAAAACTAGAATAGAATCGTTAAGGTTGGAAAGGGCCTCTAAGATCATCATCATTCCAACCATCAACCCAACACCCCCATGCCCACTAAACCATGTCCCCAAGTGCCACGTCTGCCCGTTTTTTGAACGCTTCCAGGGATGGGGACTCCACCGCCTCTCTGAGCAGCCTGTCTCCTTTCCCAGCGCAGAACGTGCTGGGGTTTGCTCTGGGTTTTTGTCTTCACAAAATCTTTTATCTTCTTTTCTCTTTAGTTGTTAAAGTGTTGAAGAGGGGTTGTGTGTGTATCTGTGCAGGTAGTGTGTTTATACTGAACTTTATAACTAGTTAAATACACAGTCGGGTATGTTTGAGAATGTGATGTATTATTTTTGTGTATATCACAGTATTTCAATAATGAAAAATATGAAGCCCAACGGTATGATGAATTCTTGAAGATATATGAAAATGCCTCCCTGAAGACTACCTCTACTTTAGCTCTCCTGAACTTTGGCCAGAGTGCTATATTTAGCATTGGCTTAACGGCCATCATGGTGCTTGCCAGCCAGGGCATTGTTGCAGGTAACTCATCTGTCTATAAGCTAAATATGACTCTCCTTTACCTTAATTCATCCAGAATAGAAGTATTGATTTTAATTAACTTATGGTTGATGTGATAGTTCATTTTGAGAGTTTTTGCTTCAGGGTTTGGGGTATTTCTGCTTCTTCGAGTATTATTAATTCCATGATACATATATATATATGTGTGTGTATCAGTAACTAGTATGATTTTATTAGAAACATTTTGTAAGTTTAGCAGTTAGAGAAAGATCCTAAGAAAATGTAACTCTGGGAAGTTTCTGTTGAAGGATTGTGAAAGACACTTCTAAAAATACAAATACTTCTGTGGACCTTCTACAAAGAGTCTTCCTTTTTACTCTTCTTCCTTCCCGTGTTGGCAAGATTCAGAATTTTTGCCCAATGTGTACAGACCCATGTGCTTTGTCTCCAGTAGTTTTATTACCAGTGTCCTTCACTTTCCTTTGATTAATATTATTAAAATAATTGTTTCCATATGTTAGAATTTTTAATCTATATTTGTCGAATTTACTACATAAAGTAAAGCCTGCTTGTTTAGGAAGACACAGTACAAGCTTGAAATGCAGTAGATGAATGCGGTATCAGGATGAAGCTCAGCTAAAGCAAGGTGGTTTTAGAGTAAAAATAACAATGCTTTAAACACCGTTAGCATCCAGATGCGTTTGAAGGGTAGACCTTTATATCATGTTGTCTTTCTTGCAACTCCTTTGCTCTTTTTAAGAGATGCCAGGACAGGGAAGAGTTACCCTGTGAATGGATAAGTCAGTAGGTACAGTTTATGGCTGTCCTTCAGAAAATTTAGAATAGCCTTTAAGCGGGATGGTAGAAATATGGCTTTAAATCATCTTTCTGGACCTGTTTCAGCTGAACTGACCCGGCACTTACCTTTAACTAGTGTGTCATCCTGAGTTTTCCCTTGATCAGCATGTTTGATATTAAGCTGCCCAGAGGTTCTCGCTGTACATTTTAGCAGCTCTGTTGTATATAATATGAAAGTCCTCTCTCTTGATCATGACAAATTGTATTGTTTGGATTTGTCTGTAATTGTACTTAAGATTGTCCGTCCTGATTCTTGCTTTCATATATTAGTTCCTCCCCTTCTAACTTATTCAGGCCCCTTTATCCTTCTCTCTGTGGAATTTACAACTTTACAATCTGATGTTTTCCATTAATTTTCCTTCTTTTTAATTTTTTTTTTTTCCCCTAGCAAAATCCACACAAACATTGCCACTCATTTCAGGCACCTTCCTATATAAAATCTGATCTTCTGGGAATGCGTTTTGTTTACTATTTAAACATCTGGGTTTAGAAATGGGATAAAAGAAACTAGACTTGATTGACTTGATTATTTTTTTTTTAAATCTTTTGGTGCTTCCTAACAAGACAACCCTTCAAGTCTCCTTCTTCTCTCACATCCATTTTGTCTTAAGGCAGCCTTTCTGTTGGAGATCTAGTAATGGTGAATGGATTGCTGTTCCAGCTTTCTCTTCCCCTAAACTTCCTGGGAACAGTATACAGAGAGACAAGACAAGCACTTATAGATATGAATACCTTGTTTACACTTCTCAGTGTAGATACCAAAATTAAAGTAAGTAGTAGCTTATTTTCCTAAAGTATCTGGGTATTTAATAGGGCTGTTTTCTAGCAATGCCATCATTTCACTCTGTTTGTTACCTTCCAGGTTTAATTTCTATTCAAGAAAGAGATGTTGTGTAAGGATGCTGTTCTGCCTTATCTTTAAGTGGAGTTAGTGCAATAGCAGCTGCTTTTTTCTTGCAGAACCTTTTGGTGACAGCAGAAGTTGCTTCACAGAAGCTGTGTTTGTGTTGAGATTCTTTTTTTATTTAAGTATTCATGCCTTGTGCTTGAATTTTATTTGTAATTAATGATGCAGAATTTATTACTGCAAAAGAAGTTGTGAAGCAGAGTGTTTACAGCAGAAATTTTTACCTTCTTTGGGGAAAAGGAGGAACAAACCAATTTCACTTGTGTGGCGGATTCTAATTATTTTCAACGTATCCAAGCTGGAGTGTCTATTTGCCTTTTTCTGAGCTAGGAAATGGACTGTTCAGGTTGTTGAACTGCTTCAGATACTTTCTGGGCAGCGTATAAAGCGGCACTCTTCTTTTAATAGGACAAAGAGCTGGCTCCACCCCTGCAGATCACACCACAGACTGCTGCCATCACCTTTGATAATGTGCATTTTGAATACCTTGAGGGGCAGAAAGTCCTTGCTGGAGTGTCTTTTGAAGTTCCTGCGGGAAAGAAAGTGGCCATTGTAGGAGGTAGTGGGTCAGGGTGGGTAAATGGACTAAATACGCCAATCAGCTATGCCGAATTTTGTTTCTTAAATGTGTTTGTTCTTGTGTTTTGCTTTTTATTATTTTTGTTAGTGACATCAGTTCTGTTTGGAGATTGTAAATGGCAAACCAGGAGTGTAACATTAGCTTCAATTCTTTTCAATTTCAGGAAAAGCACAATTGTGAGACTATTATTTCGTTTCTATGAGCCTCAGAAAGGAAATATTTATATTGCTGGACAGAACATACAAGATGTCAGTTTGGAAAGTCTGAGAAAGGCAATAGGAGTTGTACCTCAGGTATACCATGTTTCATTCTCCCCAAATAATCCATCGTAATAGTAATTCTTGTATTCTGACACTGTGGTTCAATGAAGGCCAATCCTAATGCAGTAGTATTGTCTAGTTCCTCTGAAAGTCACCATGCTTCTTTTTTTTCCTCCAGGAAATAGTATGTTTTTATGTGCATCATCATATAGATCCAGTTTCTGAAATGTGTTTAAGCCTCTTCATGAGAAACTGCCTCCAGCTTTAAATGATTTAGCTTTATAGTTGATTACCACCCATAATGAGTTAGCAAAGTGGTAAAAGTATGCATGGAACATAGATCTTTAGGACACAAAATGTATTAATCCCATTTTTGGGAAAAGAGATTTCCCCAGAAACTTTTACCTTCAGGCTTTGTAGAAAAAATATAAGCTATTCTGTATTGATTTCTTTCATTGACTGGGGACAGTTTTTAAGCTATTGTTCCATGGTTTCTTATTTAAAATATTCTTTCCATAAATGTAGGATGCTGTTCTCTTCCATAATACTATCTATTACAATCTGCTCTATGGCAATATCAGTGCAACACCAGAAGAGGTGTACGCAGTAGCAAAGTTGGCAGGAATCCACGATGCTATTCTTCGAATGCCAAATGGTTACAACACTCAGGTTGGTGAACGAGGACTCAAGCTCTCAGGTGGGTTCTTAAGCGTGCAAGTTCTTTGTATCCCTTTTGCTACCTCAAAGTTCAGTGCATAGTTTATTCCTCAGTCAGACTTGCTTTTAGCTTATTTACATTATAACATAACTGTAAGGCTAAATATTAATACAAAGATCTGTAGTTTAAGGCAACTGTGGTCAACAAGGTATTTAAAGGAATGTATTTTCAGGGGATAGCGTTAAATGAGTTGATACGTAAGCATGTAGATGTATCTAAGTAAAAATGATCGTTCTTGTAATCTGTTTGGGTAGTGGAATGTGTGTGAATAGAATTGAGAACTTTAGGCATGCGTGCTTTGCATGTAGGATGTGATAGGCTTATATATATGCATAGACCTTCCAAATTTGAGTTCTTAAATCTAAACGTGTAAAAGCTGAAACTTAGGTGGTGTTTTGTTTTTGCTGTTGATAGTAGGTAAGGCAATGGGATAGGTTGTTGCAGGGAGGTCATTTTGGACCCTGTTCATAATGAAAGGGCCTTTGTGTCTCACATGTTTCTTACCCGTGAATTGTGTATGAAGAAACATGAAAATCGTGTCTGTGTATCTGCAAGCTATGGATTTATATTACACAACCTTGGTACTGAAACAAAAAAACCATGAGTTTAGGTTCTCAAAGTCCCTCTGTATTTGGGTATGCACTCTACAAAACAGCATAGCTGTTCTGAATGAGAAAGATCGCATCATGGCATTAGCCAGGCTTTGCTAGGTTTGCTAGCCTTTGGGGGCCACTCTTACAAAAAAATTCACTTTACTCCTCCTTCTCTACAGATGTCTGTAATATTAAAGTTACATACACTTGTTTGTAGGTAAGATGATGCTTCAAAGCAAACATTCTTCCTGTGGCAGAGTTGTAATGTAAGATGAGGGATCACAGGGAAACTGGGCAATGTCTGAATTGTTTCCCATGCTGTTTTTCTGTTTTTTGTTGGGGGGACATAGGATTTAAAAATACGGAGTTTAAGTATAACTTTTTAGGTAGCGGGTAGATTCCACTGGAATGCTTTCAATCTCAAATCTCTTAGATTGAAGTTGCATTGAGAAAAAGCTAATAATGATGTCCATCACATAAATGTAACACTTACTACATGTGCATTAAATGAAACAAAACTGAAATTACTGTTTTGGTTGAAGGATATATTATTATTAGGTTATTATATTTTAAATAAATCTTTATCTTATAGTTCTTATAGTTTTGTAACAGATATTTGATGCAAGATAAAATGGGATACTCGTTTCATGACATTCCCCATTTAAATCACTAATGGGTTTGGTTCCCCTCCTTGGTGGATATTACGAGAAATAGAAGGTGCAGTTGCAAAGTTCATTAAGACTGTTTCCTGTTGTCTTGTTTTGAAAAAGCAAAACACACTATAGTTTTGCTGAAAATTTCTAGCCAATACGAGCAGTGGTGGGGCACAGGTTTTCGTATTGGTTTGGTCTTTTTTTTTCTAATACTGCCCCAAAGGTGTTTAGATAAGTGTGAGGTCATTGAAAATATTTGGAAGGATTTTGACAAGGCAGGTAGCATAATGCTGAATTGTGTGCAGAGGGTAGTAGTGGAGAAACTGCAGCACATGCACAACTAACTGCTGCTCTGCCTGAGGAGAGGCCATATCGCTGTAGTAACACGTAGGACATGTCTTTCTAAACAGCTTCTCCTGAATACAAGGCCTTACTGTTTGGCAAACTCTGTGTGGCAGAGCTTAATTTTCTTCCATTCTGACTCCACGTACAAGACGCCATTTACTGGTAGCCCAAAGAACAGGCCAGCTGTTTTCATTTGCGTGTAGGGTGGAGTGGTAGAGGGCAGACTGCTCTACTCCGTTGGGAATGAGGTATGGCCCTGCAGGAGAGAGAAACTTAGCTCAATGCGTTTGGAAACTTCAGGGTGTTGAGGTTGCTTGGGAATGGTACCGAGATGTATGAATGTTTGGGGGGATGTGGGGCTGGTGGGGGTCCAGAGGCAGGAGTGCAGCGTGTTCGGGCAGAGATGCTGCCTGTTGTGAAGACGGCAAGCTATATGCGGTATTTCTTACTATGCAGCTCGTGAAGTCAGGAGTCCTGGTCTCTTTGAAACAGAGGATCAGAGGTTACATTCTGTATCCAGAATGTATGTGCAGGAGAAAGCACGCACCTTTGCGAAAGGGGAATACAGAGAAGGTTAGAAGGGAAGTAAAATATGTGAAGCACAAACCTAGGTGAGTGAGTAGAAGATAGAAAATAGGTACTGGCAGAACTGTAGAGAACAGTGATAATGATGAAAGATTTCTCTTACACTGCCTGTCTCCCCAAACTGGTAATTTCTGGAAAGATTTGACTAACAATAGGTTTGAAATGTCTTGGTGTTTATAGAAACATAGACTGGTTTGGGTTGGAAGGGATGTTCTAAAGATCATCTAGACCAACCCCCCTGCTGTGAGCAGGGGCATCGTTCACTAGTTCAGGTTGCTCAAAGCCTTAGCCTTATGTTGGGGTTTAGATTGGCTATTAGGAAGAATTTCTTCACGGATCAAGGGTTGTCAAGCATTGGAACAGGCTGCCCAAGGAAGTGGTTGAGTCCCCATCCCTGGAGGTATTTAAAAAGAGGTGTAGATGTGGCGCTTAGGGATGTGGTTTAGCGGTGGGCTTGGCAGTGCTACGTTAACAGTTGGACTCGATGATCTTAAAGGTCTTTTCCAAACTAAATGTTTCTATGATTCTGTGTCCCATTCTAAATCTGGAGAAACATGTGCGGGCGTGTTGGAGCTTCCTTCTGACCTTTTAGAAAATGGGTTATGCTTTTACTCCATCCTTCATTTTGTGCTACCACTATGGTGGTCATAAGCACCCATCTAACAGTGCTTTAACAAAAGTGGTGTTTAGAAAGCAAAGGGAAGCGTGTTCTTTTCCTGTTTTGTTAGTATTTAAAGAAAAAAGAGTGTGTAAAATACTTCTCTGGAGAAAGACACTGGATTTCTGAGGTGATAGAAAAAGAGCTTAGAGTGGGCATCTGCCATTGAAGTAGCAGCTTCAGTTTCTTATTTTCAACAAATTAGATGAGTATTGGCAAACAACAGTAATAGAATCATGGAATCATAGAATGCTTTGGGTTGGAAGGGGCTTCAGTAACGTTTACAGTCAGGGTACAGGAGTCTTAGGCTAATGCGCTCAGAAATGTCTGCTCATAGAATCATAGAATGCTTTGGGTTGGAAGGGCCCTTTAGAGCCCATCCAGCCCAACCCCTGCCGTGAGCAGGGACAGCTTTAACCTGATTAGGGTGCTCAGAGCCCCGTCCAACCTGACCTGGGATGTTGCCAGGGATGGGGCCTCCACTGCATCTCTGCGCAACATCTTGGGCTTCCTCAAACTGCGCAGTGAACTGATCTTAAATGCAGCTGTGTGCTCAGTTCTTGGGGAATCTGATTCTGTGTGCCTTTGCTTGCAGGTGCCAGTTTGTGGTTTTAGGTTGAAGTGTGGAGTTAACGTGTCCACTATATCCCATGTGCTTTTGTTAGATCAATATTTTAGTTGATAATGAGAGTTGTAATGGCCAGAAATGGTTTGGTTGTTTAATGGATTGGAGATGTCAGGTGCATATCTTCAGTAGCTCTGTAAAAGTATGGCATCTGTTACTTTGAATCTCTGTAGCTTTCTGAATAGTAGAATGGCTCCCTAAATTGTTCAAAAGATATATATTAGATTCATTCTGAATCTGTTTAATATTTTTTTTTGAGTGAGGCTCCTTATACTTCTAGTCTAAGAAAAACACAAAGTCCTGACTTGTTTTGTCTTTTTTAAATAATATTTCATGGGAGAAATGGGGGGAGTGGAAGCACTGTGAATTTAAGTGGTTCCTCTTTGAAATCCAGGCATTTTATATGCATGATGGAAAACCCCAAGGTTTTCAGGACCACTAATGCAGTGGGTGTCTCGGTGAAAGGCACAGTGACAATTAACGTGGGTCCCGGGATGTGTGAACGGTGTTAGTAACCTGTGGGGCCAGTAAGGGCTGTGATCTTAATTTGGGGCCCTGGTTCTGTGAATAGTTAAATCTGTTGCATGCAGCAAATGATTAGTTTAAAAAATAGTAAGTAAATTGAATTCTCCCTGTATGCAAAAATTTGGTGTATTATGGATTCTTTTCTTCCAGTAAATGAACAGTTTACTATGAGCACTGGCATTGGCAAACTGTATCTTAGAAGTGCTGTCTCGATGCTTTAAAACTGGTGGATTTTTTTCATAATTGGCGAGAACCTGAATACAAACAAAACTCCCTAATGGCAGTACAGCAGCATGGATAACAAGCTGCAGTATCCGCGTTTCTCTCCCCTAGTGTGGTTTTCCTTGCTTGTGTGGTACAAAAACAAGCATAAGGAAGTCTTAATTGCATGGAGAACTTTATCAATTTAAATGGTGAGGTAAGCATTTAGTGCAGTTCTTACTGGTCTCAGTGATCGATTCATCAAGAGTAAATAAAGAAAACCAAGCTGGCTGGCCTTTTTCAAGTAGAATCCATTTCAGTGTTTTCTAATAGATGTGGAAGAGCTATAACAGCCCAAACTCCTGACTTTGTGAAGGAAATGGTTAACGTGTTGCCGTCCTGAAGATGAATGGGGAAGAACATGAAACAAGTTGATATGTTACAAATGTAGGGCAAGACCTGGGATTTTGTTACTGTAGTATGTCTTTCAAACCTGAATATTGTCAGGCTGTGAGTTTTGAACATGCTTTAAAGGAGAGAGAGAGTATGCTAGAATAAACTGAGTAAATTGTACAATTCTAATTGCTACTGAGTTCTGCCAAAGACAGTTTAAAATTTGAACTCCATCGTTATTATCAGCCTTTTAAATGGTTTATTAAAGCGTGTTCTCTCCTGATAGGAATGGAACACTAACAAGAATATAATGGTATTAAATGGAATGTTTTGAAGTCTTGAATGAAACAAAGGAGGACAAGTGCACAAATATGAAATGTTTGCATTGCACACCAAATGTTTAGCAGATTTTAAGTTCTCAAATGCACCTGTTTTCCTGTCTGTAAAAGTTGTCCCAAGTTATTCTTGGGTAGGAGTTGGCTGTAAGAACTGTGAAGGAAGGAAACTAGTCTGAAACTTCGTTACATCAGAAAGCAACAGGCAGTGGTTTGCATCATGAAGGTAGTTTTCAGTACCATATTAATTGTGTTCTTTAATGAAATTTGCTGGTTAAAGCTATTAGGTATGGACACTTCAAATCTGGGCCATTACGGAGTGGAAAGTGAGATGAATTTCAAGGAGAGATGTGGAAGAAAAAATGCATGTGCAAGATGCAGGAAATCAAATACAGCAGGCATGGGCAGAGCATTGTTTATTTGCAAGAGAAAGCAGGATGTATATATGCGAAGTTACTGTACGGGGCATAGCTTAGACCAGGTAAATGAGCTCATACTCCCTGGTGTATAGAGTGAGTTATGGTACGTCGTCGTTAGTTACCTGCTCTTGCCTTGTAGCATATACAAAATAGTTCTCTGTCCTTTTCCAAAAGGATAAGCAATCTTGAATCACTTTGGATTTACCAAGGAGCAGGAACTTGTGTGATATTGTATGTAACATGTACAGACCTTTATCAGTAGCAAATATTATGTATGTTAAAAAAAAAGAAAAAATAACCAACCTCCAAAACAGTAATGTCTGCTGTTGAATTTAGAATATCATGATTGTAACTTTATCTTTTTTTTTTTCCTCTTCCCCTGCCCTCCCCCCACATTCAGGAGGAGAAAAGCAAAGAGTTGCAATTGCTAGAGCAATGTTAAAGGAGCCGCATATTTTTCTCTATGATGAAGCCACATCATCTTTAGATTCAATTACAGAAGAGGTAAATTGGGATAATAAAAATAAAACTTAAGTGGTGTAATGATGTCTGATTCTGATGCTTTTTCCTTGGGTTTTTCCTCTCGGAAAGAATTCTGTTCTTATTGCCAGATCGCTATCGTGTTTTCCTGGTATTATTATTAAGAGATCCTGTGGCTAAGCCCTTTTCCTAAAGGCTGGAGCAGAGATGCTGAGTCTCTGTCTACCCTGAGACACAGTGAAGATGATCAACTCTGTCCCTGGGTGTATTTTCTGGTTTACATTCTTGAGGTCCCATTCACCATTAAACATTCATCTCTTGAAGCTGTTGCAAATACCTCATGTGGCCACGAAGTGCGAAGCTTTCCAATCCACTTTAAAAGGTGTTTAGATGACATCTAGCATTCATTAAAAATGTCTTATAAATAATTGTGACGTAACGCAGAACAGAAAACCTCGTTTGTTGTGCGGTATCTTTCTGTGATGCAAATCAGGAAGGTGTAATCTGCAGTGCTGGTATTAATTTGTATTCATTTCACAGGGAGGGCTGTGAAACATCAGAGCGTTGTGACACAGATGTCATGACAGCACCACAGTAACTGCATCGGGCTTCGTAACTACATCTTTGCTTAAACACAAAACTCTCAGCGCCAGCAGTAATTTTACAAACTAATGTCATCAAAACCTAGAGCTGGGGCTATGTTTGTGTTCACTTATGCAGCTTATTGAGTGAATTTATTGACCTGTAATCACTAAACGACTTTCATTTTCCAGATACAAAGAAATCAGAGTACAAACTGTACATCTATATAGTACAGCATTCAAACATAGTACAGCTTCCTCATGGGACCAGAAATGCTCATAACACACGCAATTCTACAGAACGCTACTTGGATTCTTTCTCTCTTTTGTTTTGCTGTATTTACTGCGAGAATCATAAGCAAAGCTGAAAGTTTCACAGCAGAACTGCACTTTAAAGAGAGCAAATGAAAATGAGTCCTTTCCACAAAAATATGTCTGATAATCAAAATGTTTTCTGAGAAAGGCAAGTGTGTTTCAGGAAAATAAAGTGGACGCTTCACTTATTGTGGTGAGGGCACAAATTCCCAATTAGTGCTGCTCGCATCTGAATGCAGTTTGGGAAGGCGGAAGACTACTCATAAGGGAAGCAGTGGATATACAGATAATTCCCAGGATTGCTTTAACTTTGTTCCACACTGGCATGGTACTGAGAGGGATTTTTTTCTTTAACTTTCATTGATTGGAAAATATTATTACTTATTATTTTCACATGCCTTTACTGCTGTTTGTTGCTTTCGTAGTATGGCTGCATGGGGAAGTTTTTCCTGAAATCAAGTAACACTTCTCTTCCTTTGTCACTTGGGATATCTGCATTATTCTGTGAATAAAGGGGTTTTTTTGCAGTTTGAGGGCTTTATCAGAGCCACAGATACTTTATGCTTGGGATTCTTCTGTTTCTTCTGTAGATACTCATAGTTGTTTCTCATTGTGAAGCTATAGCAGCACTGGAGATGTTTCTCAAAACTTATATACAGTAATTTGCATATTTCCAGACAGCATTTTGTTTCTCTTCGTACCACTTAGGAGCGTGTAAGAGTTTGTCTCTATTTTAATCTTGCAGAATATTCTCAGTGCCATGAGGGACATGGTGAAACACCGAACGTCGGTTTTCATTGCTCACAGGCTGTCAACAGTAGTTGATGCAGATGAAATCATAGTGCTGGATCAGGTGAGGTGATCGCCCTGTGATGTGCAACTTTCACCTAACGTCGGTGTTTGTTTTGGAGTGTCTGTGTGTCCATTTTGAAATATTATACTCCCACCAAGCTACTGAAAGTTCTTTGGAAATGAACCACATTAGAAAATTCTAGGCCAAGCTGTGTTTTTTACATACCTCTCTTCTTTGCAGCGAGCAGTTTATCAGTTGCAGAAACTTGCGTGTGTGACTCTCTTGTATGTTGTATTTTTGCTTCATTTGCATAGTTCATTTAATTACATGTCCTTTATGTGGATTATGACAGATTTCACTCGATGCTCTGGGACTGGCTTAATGTTGCATGTTTTAAATCTGATTTATTACATGCTTGTGTCAGATTAGGTTTCCTAATGTGTTCCCCCAATTTATGCTTTATTCTCATTACTCGGTGAGTGTCTATTTTTCACATGCATCCACTGTTTTTTTTCTTTCAATGGGGAGAGAGAGGACAGCATGTTCTGTTTCCATGCGGATAAAACTGTTGTAGGATTGTTCAAGCTAATTATGTTAGAAATCTGAACACCATTCTCTATTGTACCTGCAGAAAAGTACGATTATTCCCTTTCCGTATGCTTCTCTTGTAAGGGGGGAGGAAAAAAAAAAGAAAGTTTCAACACCTGATTTACTGATGTCACTGTTCAGCTGTTACCTCATGTTCAGGCTGTCTTAAGTCCATTTTCTTCTCTATTACCCATATCTGGCTATAGATTTAAAATAAACAAATGTCCTTATTATAACTTCAGAGTTACTCTTCTAACTGATAATGCTGAAAATATAGCGCTCTAATCTGCTGATAATAGATTTTAAATTTATCTCTGCGTTCATTTTTTTAGTTGCTATTTATATGCTTGTGATCATAGGTGTATTTAGTGACTAAAATATGCATATCTAGAAGACAATAAATTATTCCTACAATATGTTAAAAGATTTCATGGGCAATTAGAAAAAAATCTTACAAAATGGTGACATTCATGACTATCTTTACTACACAAATCTCAGTTTCATATGAATCTCAAAATGAAGTAGTGGAATAAATCACTCGTACTGCTCTGTGGAGTCTTTATGTGGTTTTGATCTGCCTGGTTTTTTCAGCTTTTGCTGAAAAATCGTTTCCTAAGGTGTATCCTTTATGTAACTGCATGTTAAAACATCTTGCAAATGTTTTTTTAACATGTTATAAGGCAATCTGCGACTTTTTGTTTTCGATGCAAGTTTTCACAGCTTACTAAGAGTGTGTTTTGTGTTATAGTGTAACTGTTAAATTAAAAATAAAAGCACAACCTCGAACTGTAAAACAGCTAGGGTGCTCACTTTCATGAATGATGTGAGTGTAATAAAGATTGTGAATGAGTAAGGCAGCGTGGTGCATCACTTTTAGTGCCCGACTGCTTCGTGTGAGGCATCATTGACGTTTGCTCAGCAGAAAGTTGCCTCTTGTCATCCCTGCTTGATTGATGAGCGCTGTGTTAGCAACCAGATAAATAAGGCTCAGTAGTGGAGATGAGACAAGATGATTGTGACTGGTTTTGCTTAGCGAGGGAAATGCGGCATCGCAATTTCAGCACCTTCGCCTAGGTAAAATCAGAATAATTCTTGAGTGAGTAAATAAACATTAATGATATTGATCTTAATGCTGTGAAGCTGAACAGAGAAGTTACATTTTTGATGATTGTTCAAGAGTTATTAAAAAAAAAAAAGGCCATAATTCAAAAGCCTAGTCTCTACGACAGTGAACTCTCTAAATTAACCACTTAAAGTTTTTAAATAAATTCTGCAGTTATGCTGGTCAAGTGTATATTTGTTCAGATTCCACCAGCACGACTAGTAATAGAAGTGACAAGACCCAATTTTTCTCTCAGCATGTTCATCAGCAGCTGTCACAAGGAGGTAGATTTAATTGTAGATCAGAATTTAGAACTAATATAAAATCCATGTAGTTGTCTGTATAATGCTGTCTTTTCCCAAAAGGAAGAATAGCTGGAGAATGAATACATTATTTTAATTTGAAGTCAGTGAATGTAAATGTGTATCTCCAAGTAAAAAGATGAGCCTGTTTTTTCTGAAGAGTAGCGTTGTTTCACTGTCTGTAGGATTTGAGTTCTCCTCTCCAACTCTTCCTTCCCGTTTCCGCAATGATAGTCAATAAATCATCTTTGCTCTTGAGAATAGCACAGATGAACTGAACGGCTCACTCCATCTTCATGACGGCAATTGCAATGACACAAGTTACTGAGCACCCATCTAAAAGCACAATTTACACTAATTGTTTTTAGGATTTGATTTTAAATGTGGTTTGCTTATCTAGTACAAATCCCTCTCTGTATGCTCTTTTCTTTTAGCTTCTTGGTGTAAGGGGGTTTGTTGTCGAGCAAAGACAAGTACGTGTTTGGTGACTTTTGCGCTAGTAGTTTAATACCTTGCTCCTCATATAGAGCTCTACGTTTACTTCAAATAGCTCTT